TGCTGGAAACAGTCAGTGCAGAAGCCCTGAGGCAGGAGTATGACTGACATGTTCCAAAACAAGGGAGTAGGCGGGTGGGCTGGAGCATAAATGAGTCAAGGGAGTTAGGAGGATAAAGTCAAAGAGATCATGGTGACCAAGTCACAGAAATTCTTGAAAGCCGTCCAGAGGCCTTTTGCTTTACTCTAAAATGTGGAATAATTGAGGGACCTTGAGTTGAGGACTGAAGTGATCTTCCTTACAGTTTATCAGGAATCACTCTGTCTACTATGTAGAGAGAATAAATTATAAGGCAGCAAGGTCAGAATCAGGGAGACTGGGTGTGGAGGCTGTTAGGTTAATGCGTGTGAGATACGGTGGCTCAGACCAGGGTGTCAGCCATGAAAGTTAACAGAAATGGTGAAGTTCTGGATGGATTTTGAAGATAGAGATAATGGGCTATCGGAAAAGTTTGTTATATTTTATGACAAACTAAGGAAGAAAGAACAGCAAAAAAGAATTTCATACTGTCCCAGGGTAATTATATTTAACTTTGTTTTCTGTGTATTTGTAGTAATTCATCTCTGTGCTGCTTGTCATACAATTGAATCTATTGTTCAACATTTGCTATTACATTAAAGGTAGTTTTATTTGAGATTAGAAAGCTGTACCCAGTAGCAGGTTCAGTTCTGAAGCAGAAAGACATGTGGCCTCATGAAGCAAGCACACTGCAACAAAGATAAAATGACCAGCCCACAATAATGATGCAGGCTCCCTTTTTTGATTTCTGCTTCCAGAAGTACACATGGAAGCAGCAAAACGCAATTACATTGTTTTCTTTTACCTCAGGTATAAAAAGGGATGGATATGTCTGTTTAGGATTTGGGTTTTCTTCAGTGAATTTCTCATCACTGATACAAAGCATTGAAAAGGAAGGTGTGATTATTTACTTTAGCTCTGAGGCTTCAAGTCTCAGCTGGTATTTCAGTCCTTGGCATTATAGATAAATTTTTGTGACCCTCACTGTCTTTTACTCTTTCCCACCCCCCTCCCTGCTTTATGCAAATAGAAGGGAGAAGAGCTTTGTGTGAACTTCAGCTGCACTTGCAGCTGTGTCTGTGTTTGGTGTCTTGGTGTTGAAAAGTGCTCTGTTGTGTTAGATTTTGCTCGGATACGGCTGCTTTATGCATATACAGTGAAGAGGGAGAGGAAGGCAGGGTTTTTGAAAGCAGGGGAAGTGGGGACTCAGGATGTGTCTTCAGAGCAGGGCCATAGGCTGCCTTGTATGAAAAACTGGGTTCGCTGGAGCCTATTTTTTTGTTATTAAAAAATATTTATGTGTGTACTTTAAATTTTCAAATCATAAATAAAAAGTTCTGGCCAGGTGCGGTGGCTCATGCCTGTGCACTTTAGGAGACCAACGCGGGTGGATCGCCTGAGGTCACGAGTTCAAGACCAGTCTGGCCAACATGGTGAAACCCCATGTTTACTAAAAATACAAAAATTAGCTGGTTGTGGTGGTGGGCCCCTGTAATCCCAGCTACTTGGGAGGCTGAGGGAGGAGAATTGCTTGAACCTGGAAGGCGGCCACTGTACTCTAGCCTGGGCGACACAGCGAGACTCCGTCTCAAAAAAAAAAAAAAAAAAAAAAAAAGACAAAAGTTCTCCTACTCCCAGTTTCATTCCTATGGATGATCACTGTTAATAGTTTGTATCTTTCAGAACATTTTAAATGTGTTTATACATGATCACAAAGTCATTTTTATATACTTGGATTATCTTATAAATATTTTTATTGCAACTTGTTTTTTTCCCCATTCAGGTTATCTTATGTAACTGAACATCAAAAAGAATGCCTTGATGACCATCCTTACACGTGCATACATACGGTATTTTAGGACAGTATTTCCAGATGCCTAATCACTGGTTCATTGGTTAAGTGCATTTAAAATATGACCAGTACTGGCAATTTTCCCTCAAAAATTCCTAGTTAACATTCTTTCTGATTGTCACAAAAGTGAATGCAGTCTTCAACTTGATTTAATAAAAATAAGATGTCTAGAACAAGAAAAGTTATTTTATTTGCATAATGAGGCCAGTACATGGTGGCAAGCTCTGCTGCATCTGCCCCAGAGCAGACATGGCCCTTGTGGAGCCAACTGGTAGCCTGTTATTTGGACATTGCTCTCAACTCATAGGATCTGTTTAGCCCCACATTGGAACTTTTGGTTTAAACTGGGTTCTCTTTCAGGTTTATGTATGTGTTTAATCGCTTATCCTTTCTAATTCTTCTAATTACTTTTTTTAAATTACCTTCTAAGTTTTAAAATGACAGATGAAACTCAGAAAATAAAGAGGATAATACAGGCTAGCTCATGTTGTAGGCAAGGAAAATTGGCCAATTTTTTCTTCCCAGCTTGGCCCTCTCATCTTATTAGTAGATTCTTTTTTTGTTTCCAAAGATAATACCTTGATATTAAGGTAAGCCCCCAAAGAAAGACTAGTTTGGTTAAAAACAGAACCCAAAATTCAGCTAGAGAATGCAGAGACCAAAATTTCTTTTTAGAGTCACTGCTCCCTCCAGTAGCAGTTCAGCTTCCTTATAAAGCATATCTTGACCTGAATTCCATAGTTCTTACATAACGGTAGGACTACAGCCAAGCTGTTCAGACCAGTAGTCACTCAACAAAAACATAGATAAGAGGACGTTTTCTGGCTACCTCTTAAGCAAATTCAAGTCCTAAATTCCTAGAAAGAATGGTAAGAAGAAAGCAAAACCAAGGATCTGTAGCCAGAATATTTAGATTTCCCACCCCACCTTTTATAATCATTTTGCCTCTTACTTACTAATCTGTTTAGTCTTCCTGCAGAACTGGACTTCCAGAAGATTCTCTTGCTGTTTACATCTTATAGCTCCCTTCTCATCATGCACACAGGAAACTGAACCAGGCCAGGCTTTACCCTCCTCAGATCACCTTTCCCAGAAAATGAAGAGCCCACACTAGACTATTAGGACCGGTAGAACCCTGTCTTGCTTGTTCCTGGTAACCGTCAACCTCTCTCAAAATGTTTTGTTTCAGAAGATCTCCCTCTCCCTAAGGAAAGTCTACAAGCCAGTTACCAAAATCCAGGACATAAGCTATACCATTTACTCTTTTTATTTGTTCTCCTCTTCGCCTGCTCATGCGTCTTTTCTTCATACTGTGTTCATGGCCTGTCTTCCCACACCCCATCTGTCCATGGAAATACCCTAGTTGCTACTCCTATAACCAGTGATGCTTCTCACTCAATTTCACAGGGATTTTCCCCAGTTGGCCCTCTGCCAAAGGCCCAGATTCTTAGGCTAATTCTCATGCTTATTCCATCTGGTTTTTGCAAATAATAGTGTGTAGTGTTTATCCACAGAACTGGCTGCCCCCAAAAGCAAAAATGTTCTATTTCCCTAACCTATTAAATGCATCAGAATAGTGCTATCTGACAGAAATATGTGAGCCATATATATAACTGAAATTTTCTAGTAACCAAATTAAAAACAGGTGAAATGATGTTCTACATAATTCAGTATATGTAAAACCTACATATATACATTGTTTCTATATGTAATCTATGTGAACAATTTTTCTTTTTTTTTTTGAGACGGAGTCTCGCTCTGTCGCCCAGGCTGGAGTGCAGTGGCCGGATCTCAGCTCACTGTAAGCTCCGTCTCCCAGGTTTACGCCATTCTCCTGCCTCAGCCTCCCGAGTAGCTGGGACTACAGGCGCCCACCGCCTTGCCCGGCTAGTTTTTTGTATTTTTTAGTAGAGACGGGGTTTCACCGGGTTAGCCAGGATGGTCTCGATCTGCTGACCTCGTGATCCGCCCGTCTCGGCCTCCCAAAGTGCTGGGATTACAGGTTTGAGCCACCGCGCCCGGCCTATATGAACAATTTTTCATATTAAGTCTTCACATTTTACTGTGCATCACTGACAGCACATCTCATTTCGTGTTAGCCACACTTCAGGTGCTCAGTAGCTGTGTGTAGCTTGTAACTGCTGTATTGGACAACACCGCACAAGAAAATGATTCCCAATGACTCAGATTTTTCTATGAAAATGGTGGGATGGAGACATTATTGAAAAGAAGTGGGTTTATTAACCCTCCTAATGCTTATGATTTTTATACTACTTTCAGAGATCTGGATTTTCATTTTCCTACATGTTCAGGTTTCCTGCATGATTTTCTTTATCATCCCTGAATTAAATTAATTTAGGATAGGCTTCATTCTCTGAACTGAACATATAATATTGTATTTCTCTTTATTCTCATTTGGGTGCCAGAAAGATTATCTTGAATATTGAAATGCTTGTAGTCGTTAAACTAAGATTCATGCTGATTTTTTTATAGGCAACTAAAATATTCCGTGAATGTGTCACCAAGTATAATTTTGGGTACTTGAAAGCTAAGATTTGCAGTGGCACTGCCAAAGTTCCACATAGAGAAATGCATATCTTTGCAGCTAAGGCCACATCAACTCATGCAGAGTAATTTAACTCTGGTGTTATGTTCTAAAATAGATGATAACCAAAAGAGTATCACATCCAAAAGAGAGCACATAGGAAGTTGGGGGAACTTGAAATGTTAACATCTGAGGAACTATTACAAGGACAACAGAGGCTCATTTTACCTGGGGAAGACTCAGACAGCCATAGGAAGTATTTTTAGTTATCTAAAGGCCTGCCAAACATAGAGGGGATTACATGTGTCCAAGTGAGCCCAAAGAGCAGTAGCCCTACTGCAGGAAGATTACAAGGAAAGACTTAGACTCAACATGGAGAAGACGTTGCATGGTAACAGATGTCCAAATGGAAATATGCTACTCAAATAACGCCTTTGTTCTCACTGTAGAAGGTGCAGGAAGTGAGGTGGTGATGTCAGTGTGATGGGATAGAAGGAATTCAGGCATTATGTAGTTGTTCTTTGTGTTATCCAATCCTGAAAGCCTCTTCTGGTGTCTCTTCCCTTCCACTTCCTTTGCTTACAGCTAGAACAACAGAGGCAGCAGTTGCTTACTGAACGCCAAAACTTCCACATGGAACAGCTCAAGTATGCTGAATTACGAGCACGACAGCAAATGGAACAGCAGCAGCATGGCCAGAACCCTCAACAGGCCCACCAGCACTCAGGAGGACCTGGCCTGGCCCCACTTGGAGCAGCAGGGCACCCTGGCATGATGCCTCATCAACAGCCCCCTCCTTACCCTCTGATGCACCACCAGATGCCACCACCTCATCCACCCCAGCCAGGTAAGAGGAAGGCCCTGCTCTTGGAAAAAGCTTTTGGTCACTACAGAGGCACAGAGCATCACTGAGGCCAACCACACAGTTGGTGTTTTCTCATGAAGACTGTTCAAAATTTTCATTGTCATCTAGAAAATTGTAGGCATGTGAGATTTAGGGTTATCGCCATATAAGGCCTTCCATGTTCTTTTTCTCTTGGTATGATGCCTTTTCTTTGAGTAGGTCGGTCTCTGAATGGACAGTAATATCTCAGAGTTCATTCAGAATTTATCTTTGGATTATTGATACTTTAAAAAATTTGTAGATATTTTCAAAGATAAACACACGTAACACAGCAAACTCCCATGACCTGGTTTCAGCAACCATCATCTTTCTGCCACTTTTACTTTTTGTTACAGAAATCTGCAACCATAGATAAAGTAGAGAGAATAGTATGATAATCCCCCATGTACCTATTGGACAGCTTCAAAATTATCAACATTTTCGAGTCTGTTTTTATCTTTTCCTCCTCACTTTGGGAAATGAGATAGACTTCAAATATATCTCTAACCAGTGGGAGTCTTATTCTTTTTTTTTTTTTTTTTTTGAGACGGAGTCTCGCTCTGCCGCCCAGGCTGGAGTGCAGTGGCCAGACCTCAGCTCACTGCAAGCTCCGCCTCCCGGGTTGAGGCCATTCTCCTGACTCAGCCTCCCGAGTAGCTGGGACTACAGGCGCCCGCCGCCTCGCCCGGCTAGTTTTTTTTGTATTTTTTAGTAGAGACGGGGTTTCACCATTTTAGCCAGGATGGTCTCGATCTCCTGACCTCATGATCCGCCTGTCTTGGCCTCCCAAGGTGCTGGGATTACAGGCTTGAGCCACCGCGCCCGGCCAAAGGAGTCTTATTCTTTAACATAACTATCATCACCATCAAACAAAAGTAACCATAATTCCTAATATCTTTCGTTAAATATCTTTGAGTGCTTAGTTTGTTTGAATCAGTATTCAATTAAGATTCACACATTTGTTGACATGTCTCTTAAAAATCTATGTAATAATTCACCTTCCCTTTTTTGTGCCATTTATGTGTTGAAGAAACCAGGGTTTTTCTGCAATGTGGCTATGCCTGATTATACACCAAAGGTGCATAGTGTCATGTCATATGTCCTAACCCCCACCCCACCTACACACAAACACACATTTCCTATAAACCAGAGGATTGCTCTGGATATTTTATCAGATTCAAATTCACCTTTTTTTTTTTTTTTTTTTTTGGAGACACTGTCTTGCTCTGTTGCCTAGGCTGGAGTGCAGTGACATCAGTGACATGATCATGGCTCACTGCAGCCTCAACCCCCCAGGCTCAGTCAGTCCTCCCATCTCAACCTCCTGAGTAGCTGTGACTACAGGCGCACACCACTACACCTGGCTAATTTTTGGTTATGTTTTTATAAAGATAGGGTTTCGCCTTGTAGCCCAGGGTGATCTTGAACTCCTGGGCTCAAGCAATCCTCCCACCTCAGACTTCCAAAGTCCAGGGATTACAGGCATGAGCTCTACCACACCCAGCCAAGATTAACTTATGAGGTCAGGCATTCTTGTAATGTCAGTTTTTCTTTTTGTGATACTAAGATTGATCAGTAGTTCTGGTGTTATCAGTTGGATTCATCCATTATAAAAATCCCCATTCAACTTAATTGTTTTAGAATTTAGCATTCAGAATTGCTTCCTGAATTAGCTATTTTAGTCTGGGCATGATGGTTCATGCCTGTAATTCCAGCACTTTGGGAGGTCGAGGTGGGCAGATCACCTGAGGTCAGGAGTTCGAGACCAGCTTGGCCAAAATGGTGAACCCCCATATCTACTGAAAATACAAAAATTAGCCAGGCATAGTGGTGCACATCTGCAGTCCCAGCTACTCAGGAGGCTGAGGCATGAGAATTGCTTGAACCTAGGAGGTGGAGGTTGCAGTGAACCAAGATTGCGCCATTGCACTCCAGCCTGGGTGACAGAGTGAGACTGTGTCTCAATTAGTTACCCTGAAAATCAGTTCTCATAGGAAAACCTGGATAAATGCATCATATTTTCCCTCTATTGGTTGTCTGTATAATGAGTTGCTGCCCCCCAGTCACCAAAGGTGACCAGTGAAGGTTTTTTTGTGTATATTTTTAATATTGTAAAATTACAAGTTTTTAAATATTTTGTGTGTTTCAGTCTATCATAGATACTATTTGTGTTGCTTCTTAAAAGACGTTGGGTCTCACTGAGTTGCCCAGACTAGACCCAAATTCCTGGTTTCAAGCAATCCCCCTGCCTCAGCTTTTGAAGTAGCTGGATTATAGGCATGTTCCACTGTGCTTGGCATTTTCTTATGCTTAAATTGTCCCATTTGTAGCTTGTGAGAGCTGTTTCGAGTTGGCTATTATTTACTAAATTTTAACCATTTTGGAAGTTGAACTCATAGTTCCTTCAAGCTTAACTGCCAGCATCATTAAAACCTAAGATGTACTTTTAATTCCAGTTCACCCCCCAACCCCACATTCCTTCTCTTCTTAGAGGGCAATATGTGTGAGTGTGTGCTGTGTATTGTTAGTCTAGTGAAAGTCATCTTGTAAGATTTTTATAGTTTGTTTATCAACAGTAATATACTAAGTGCTTAGCCAGAGCCAAAGTTTGTGCTTCTGGGGTTGGGATGCAAATTCTCTGGCCAAGTCATGGTATTATCAACACACTTATTCACAACCCAAAATATATTTTAGGCCTTAGTTTTAGTAGTTTTTATTGGCTTTACTGAAAAACAGGGCTAAGTTTACTTTGGGAAGCTTTTGTTTAGACACATTCAGAGGATTAATGTGCAATCATGAGATTTACTACCATCACCAGACTTGCCACTCTAAATGACATTTGCGGAGAAAGCCTTAGAAGTTTGCCCTGCTCACAACCAGATGCTTTCTTTCTCAGTCTTCTTCTCTGTCTACTTGAGTGGATCTTAAATTCTCTGTATAGAATCTGATTTTCTCCAGGGTTAAGCTTTCAAAAGATACAAATGCTTAACAGAGTGCAGATCTCAAAGTAATTTTTCAAAAACAGTAGTTATTCAAAAATTAAATTCCTAGGTCAGGCTTGGTGGCTCACACCATTAATTCCAGCACTTTGGGAGGCCAAGGTTTGAGGATTGCTTGAACCCAGGAATTTGAGACCAGCATGGGCAATATAGAGAGAAGCTGTCTCTACCAAAAAAAAGCCAGGTGTGGTGGCACTACATACCTGTAGTCCTAGCTACTCAGGAGGCTGAGGTTGGTGGATCACTTGAACCCAGGAGTTTGAGGTTGCAAGTGAGCTGTGATTATGACACTGCACCATTGTACTCCAACCTGGGCAACAGAGTGAGACCCTGTCTCTAAAAAATAAATAAATAAATAAAAATTCAGTTTCTAAAATACTGGGATAAACTTTTAAGAGGAAGTTTACTGTAGCTACATGGTATTTGGCTTTTAATGGTGCTAAAGCATCATATTCACATTAAATCTCACAGAACATCTAAGGAGCACTAGCATCTGCATTTAGTTTGTAAAAGATGAGCAGAGAGGTGCATCTACTTTCTTCCCTAAATGAGATTTTGGTGATAATAGGTATTTGTGTGCCATGCCCCTTACCCACATTGTTTCACTTACTTTTCATTTACTTTTCACTTACTTTTCATTCTCACCTTACAAAGCATGGCAAGGCCACAGAACTTTGCTGCATGGTGGAGCCAGGATTCACACTGAGCTCCATCTAATTGCAAAGTGAGGCCAGTGCCACAGTGCTGCCTCCCGTGACAGAAGACTAAGGGGATTTACAGCAGATTCAGATACAGCTATTCTAGTGAAGCAGTGCCAGCAAACTAGAGTTCATAAAAATAGTCTTTGGAAGAGAAATAGGTCATTTTAATCTTTTTACTTTCTCACAAAAATAGACTTTTCTAAAGTGAATTTGTAAAGGAAAGAATTATTGAGTGCAGTGCATGATGAGAGGTTTTTTTTATTTTTAGTCTATGACAAGATAGTCTTATGATCTTTTTATTGAAATAAAATGTACATTTTGGATAATGCACAATCATAAATATTCAGCTGAGGGTTTTTTTAAAATTTTTTTACTTCCTTTATACTTACAGAATTGATGAGTTTTAACAGAGAATATTCATGTGTAACGAACACACAGAGGCCCTCATCATACTCAGTCGCCTTCTAGCACCTGACTTCTAGCACCGTAGACTAGTTGGGCTGGTTGAATGTTATCTAAATGTAACCACAATGATATTTATTATATCTGGCTGCTTTCCTTGTTTTGTTTTGTTTTATTTTGTTTTGTTTTGTCAGGACCATACTCTGTCACCCAGGCTAGAGTGCAGGGACACCATCAAGGCTCACTGCAGCCTCAGCCTCTTGAGTAGTTGGGACCACAGGTGCACACCACCACGCCCCACTGCTTTTTAAATTTTTTTGTAGAGTCATGAGCTCACTATATTTCCCAGGCTGGTCTTGAACTCCTGGGCTCAAGCAGTCCTCTCACCTCTGCCTCCCAAAGTGTTGGGATTACAAGCTTGAGCCACCATGCCCGGCCACGTCTGGCTTCTTTCACTCAACACTGTGTATCTGGGATGCATCCACATTGTTGTTAGTGGTTGTACATTTGTTCCTTCTGTATGCTATACAGTGTTCTGTGGCTGTATTATTTACTAGTCTGTTCTCCTGTTGGACATTTGACTGATTTCTGGATTTTAGTTATTATGAATAGTTTGTGGTGTTGTGAAATACATGAGCACATGTCTTTTGATAAGATATATATGTACATTTCTGTTGTATATATCCCTGAGGTATAGAATTGAGTATTTATGAACCTAAGAGTGGATCATAGGATATGCATATGTTCAGATTAATAGATGCTGCCAAACTTTTTGCACAGTGGTGGTGCCTGTTTACACTCTAGCAGTATGTGAGAGTTCCAGCAATTCAAGATAATAATTTTCCCAAATTATCCCTTTGTT